AATTGCGCGACTCGTGCAGAGTGCTCCATCTGCGCCGCCAGATGAGATTGTGCACGTACATGCGCACATCGAGCAATCGGTTGAAATCCACCGTTGTATTTGTCAAGAACCACGGGCAGAGTGACGGTGCGGTGGTCAGCATGGTTCATGGCAACGAAAAATGAACGAAAGCAACGAAAAGTGATTACGGGGGCTGCAAGCCGCAATAGGCCTGCAAGCCCCCACCGTCCCCACCAAAGCGCAGTAAGGCTGCAAGCCGCTTGCACAATGAGCCGCTGCAAAGTCGGCTACAGAGAAAAGGGAAACTGCAAGAGCTGGACCTCATTGTCTCAACCGAAGCGTGGTGAAGCAAACTTCGAAGAGCCCAGCCTATCTCACTGTGCCATGTGCAGGAGATCTACGTAAGGTCAGGGACTTTGGCTGAGCGTGTCGCACCAGCAGTTCTGGCACACCACGCTTCGGCGCGACACGCTAGCCACGCCCCGGTCCCCGAGGGTCCACGTCCCGAGCCCTTCCCGGCCTCCCGCCCCACGCAGCCGAGCGACATGCTACCAGCTCGCAGAGCACAGCGCGTCGCTGAGGCCGCCGCCGCGACACCATTCGCAAAAGCTCCCGACCGCAGCCCTCACGCTTCCGAGGGGGCGACCTCTTGGCTCAGGGCGGGCTCCTCGCGGCGAGAGCGGGCCGGCGCCCTCCGCGCGGGCGGAGCAGCCGCGGCGGTGCCGCCCGGGCTGCGCCCCGCAACGCATGCGCTGGAGCTTCCGGGCCGCGACCGGACTGCTGATCTTGGCCGCCACGGGCGGCTTGCTGGCAGTCTTCAGCTATGCGGCGCGAGCCGGCGCGGCTGCCTCGCTGGCCGACGCCGTGCCCGGCGCCGCGCTCGAGGCTCCGGCGCGGCCCGCTGTCGACCAAGGCCCGGGCGCGCCGCCGGAGGCGACGAGGGAAGCTGCCGGCGAGAGCCCGGGGCCTTCGGCCGCCGCGGGCCCGCGGGGCGCGGCAGAGCCCGGCGCGCAGCCCGCCGAGCCTGCGCCCAGCAGCGGCGCCCCGGGGCGCGGCGGCGCGGCCGTCAGCGCCAGCGGCCAGCTCGACGACACGGAAGGGGGGCCCTTCGCGGGGGTGACTTTTTGGTGCGGGCGGGCTCCACATCAGGGGCAACGATAGGGGGGGATAGGCATAGGGGGGGATTCATCGACTCCCAAAACGCCCATTGATCGCCGAGGTGGGTCTGATAGCCCCACCCCGCCCAGGAAGGTGCGGATTCACGATCGGGGGCCCATCGCCGATCTATCGGCGATGTATTGCCGATTACGGGTCGATGTTTCCCCCCGATGCCAGTCACCCCCTATCGTTGCCCCCAGCACTGCCCTGTGCGCTTGAGTTTGGCCTGCCCGCGGTCCCCTGAGCCGCGCACCAAAGGTCGCTCTTGCCTGGTGTTACCCTTGCATGTGGTCGACCAGCACGGCACCTGGAGGGGAGCGGCGGTGCTGCCGGTACCGACGTTCGCCCAGAGCAAGAAGCCCTTGTTCTACCTCAAGCACCTCACGAAGGCTGGCGGCACCTTCGGGCAGTTCCTGGTGCAGACGGTCGTGGCGCCGGACCACTGGCGGGTCAACGCCGACGACGGCGAGTTGCGCCTAAACGAGATCAAGAGACATTTCATCGCCATCACGATGCGCAACCCGTGCGATTTGTACGTGAGTTTCGCCAACTTTTGCCCACGGAAGGCGTTTTTCTACGGTGGCGCGACTCGGGGGCCTGACCCACTGCAAGACTCGGGGGACACTGCAAACTTGCCCGACGAAGTTTTTGAGAAATGGTTCCGTAATTCACAGCGCATAGATGGCACTGGTTTCTACAGCTTTTACTTCTGGCAGAAAATCATCAATCCCCGCTGCCGCGATTGGTACAAGCGGCGCTCCAAGAATGACCCAGACACCCGGGACGGCGCGAAGGACGGCCCCCACAGGTGCGACAACCTTACACGGATGAACAATGAACTCGCCACTTGGAGTCCAAAGCAGTTGGCGCATTGTTGGGTATTCCAGGAGACGATGATGGATGATTACCGAGAGTGCTTCACGGCCTACGAGTTGTCGAGTGATTACGCCAAGGGCGCCATAGATTGGGACCTGTTTGAAAAGATGGCCGCCAACCGCAGCTTCGCGGACGAGCTTTACAAAAAGTTTGACAATTACGGTGGTGATGCAAAGCTGCTGTCGGATCAGGGGAAGCGGCATAAGCCTTGTCGCGAATATTGGGCGACGCAGGAGATGCAGGATGCGGTTCGCCTCTCGGACGGCGCCCTCTTCGAGAAGCTCGGATACCACGCGTGTTGCACTCGGAGTGATCACAATCTGCAGTGACGAGGTATCGACAAAACGGAAGCGACTCATGTCAGTTCATAGGCGCTTCGCGTATCCCCAGCAGCCCATCCAGAAGCGATGCCCACAAGAGTTGCTTGGACGAGGAGGTTAAGGAGTGAGGAGGAGGACGAGGAGGAGGAGGAGAAGGAGGAGTTGGAGTTGGAGGACGAGGAGGAGCAGGAGGAGGAGGAAGAAGGAGGAGAAGGTGGAGGACAAGGGGAGGGAAAAGGAAGGGGAGAAGAGGAGAGTGAGGAGGAGGAGGCCTTCGCGGATCTTTGATTCAATCGCTTCGCTCATTCCGCCGACCCATATTGCATGATCGCTTTTGCTTCGCTGTGGGCTCGGGGCCATTGTGGCGCCGCCGAAGAGGAGGAAGATGAGGATGGGGAAGGGGAGGGGAGAAGGAGGAGGAGAGGATGAGAAGGAGAGGAGGAGGATGAAGATAAGTAGGAGGAGGAGGAGTAGTAAGAGGAGGGGGCGGAGGAGGAAGCCTCTCGTTGGCATCTTGTGATGCTATTGGGGCCAAACAGGGTCGTCGTCAAGATGCTTCTTTGGGAGGCCTCTTGGGGTCTTTTGAAAAGCCGTTCGGGTGCGCATGGGAGGCATTTTTGAAGCCTTCTGGGGCCTCTTTTGGGCCTCCTGGAGCCTCTTGGGGGCCTCTTGGCGGCATCTTGGGGCTCCTTGGGAGGCCTCTCGGGACCTCTTGGGGCCCTCTTGGGGCGGAAGGCTCGAGTTTTCGGTTCGTGGTCCCCCTCTTGGGCCCCTCTTGGGGCCGTCTTGGGGCTCTCTTGGGCCGTCTTGGGCGCCTCTTGGGCCGTCTCGGGGCCCTCTTGGGTCCTCTTGGGACCCTCTTGGAAGCCTCTTGGCCCGTCTTGGGGCGCTCTTGGGGGCCTTTGGGCCGTCTTGGAGCATCGGAAAGCCGAAAAGGCGACAAGGCCAAAAATCCTTCCAAAACCATCGTAAATTGATGATTTGGGCCTCTCGGGGCCCTCTTGTGAGGCCTCTTGGAGGCCACTTGGAGGCCTCTTGGGCCGTCTTGGGGTCATCTTCGGCGTCTTGGAGCGCTCTTTGGGCGTCTCGGGGGCCTCTTGGGCAGTCTTGGGGGCCTCTTGGGGCCCTCTTGGTGCGCTCTGGGGGCCTGAGAGGCCGCGCCCAGGAGGAAAACCATCTCTGAGTCGGACCGCCCGGGACCTTGCCGGGGTATTTGTGGTCCGTGGACCCCCAGGTGCCGCCCCGCGCGCGCGAGCTAGAAAGATCGTTAACCAGTTACCGGAGATCTTAGCACGCCTCTGGCCCGTTGGGCCGGCCGGCGAATTGTGGGAACATTTGGGAGGACTCTTGGGTTATCTTGGTGCCCCCTTGGGGTCATCTTACGACTGTCTCGGGACCTCGGGGCCCTCCTGGGGCTGTTTTGGAGAGTGTTGGGACCTTCTTTGTGGGGTCTTGGGGCCCCTTGGAGCAATCTTGGGATTGATTCGGCAACCCCTTCTCCCCCTGAAGCCGAAAAAGTGCATCTTGGGGGCCTCTTGGAGCGCTCCTGGGGGCCTTTGTGGGGCCTCTTGGACTGTCTTGGGACCCTCTTGGGCTCGTCTCGGGGCTCCCTGGGGCCACGTGTGAAAACTAAACGCGCTCCATCCGTGCTACTGTTTGACAGTTTCCAGTTTCGGCTCATGAAGACTTGCAGAAGTCGCAAGCGAGAGCCCCATTCTGAGATGAACCCGCCATTAATCCGAGTAGTTGTTGGAAGCAGTTTGCTCCAAGGCGAGAGCCACGTTTGGAAACCAGCCCACCCTCAATCCGTGTAACTTGTGAAACGGTTTAACACGGATGTGCATGGCGCTAAGGCGACGGCCAGGTTTTGAGAAGTTCTCCACTTCCCATATCCTTGCAGCTGAATTATTGCAAGACGAATGTTAGTAATGCTCGGGCGAGAGCAACCTTGTGAAAGCCACCCGCCCTACATCCGTGTAACCGTTGGAAATTTCAAGCTTCAGGGTCATAGGCGGTCTGGTGGTGCGACAAGGAGGTTCTATGAACCAAAAAGAGGGGTGTACGAGGGATGAGGGGACATGGACGAGAAGGAGGAGCAGGAGGGGAAGGAGGACGGGGAGGAGGAGGAGGTGGAGAAGCAGGAGGACGAGGAGGACGAGAAGGAGGAGATGGAGGAGGAGGAGGAGGAGGAGGAGGGGAAGGAGGAGAAGGAGGCCAAAGGCAGTAGCTATGGGAACCGAAATCTGGCCAAAGTTGAGACTGTCAAGAAACTCCTTCCTTCCTCCCCCTCCTTCTCTTCGTCCTTCTCCTGCCCGTCCCCCTCGTCCTATCCTGCTCGTCCTGCTGGTTATCCTTGTCGGCATGCTCATAGTCCTTGTCCTCCCCCAGTCATCCAAGTCTTCGATCGTATATTCCTGTTCCTTCTCACTTTTCTCCTCCTGATCATCCTCTTCACTGTATCCTTCTTCCTTAATTCCATCCTGGTCAGATTCGTCTTCGTCCCCGTCCTCCTCATCATTCTCATCCTCATCCTCATCATCCAGATTACCCTCCAGCTTGTCATCCTCCTCATTATCCTCTTGCTTCTCTTCCACCTCCTCGCCCTCTGACTTCTCCTCTTGCTCGCCATGTTGCTCCTCCTACTACTTCAGCTCCTTTTCATTCATGTACTCGAGTTCTCAGTGACCTGCCTATCATTAGCATCATCATCGTTGTTATCAGTAGCCATTGTGGGTCTAGCACTTGCTGGTCCCAGGGGCCACTGGGCCGCGCCTGCGGCCCCTTCGACTCCTCCCCCCCGCTTGCACGCTGCCCTTTCGTCTCCTGGCGCTGATGGTGTGCGGCGCGCGGCTGCGCTGGCTCTCTGAGCAGCTGGCCCTTGGCAGGCAGTGCAGGCTTCGTGCGAACTCGCACCGCGACAAGGTGATCTTCAAAGTTTTGTTGCTGCCTGTCTACGACCCCATCATGCTCATCTCCTTCGCCATTATGCTGGTTTCTTCAGTCCTCGAGTCTCTTCCAGATGCAGTGGTGGCTGATCATGGCCATTGTTCTTCGGCTGGCGAATCACACATATCGATATCGGTTCGGCGTATTCTTCAAGATGATCGTCCTGGAGCTGCTGAGCATGCTGTTCGGGTTCTGGATGCTCTCGGGGTTCGGGGTCTTCCGCCGGCGAATGCCGCTCGAGTTCATGCAGGTGCTCATGAACGTGGTCGTCATGACTTTCCTGAAGCTGCTGGTGTTCGTAGCCTTCCTGCTTCTGGGGGTGACCAAGCCGTTCATGCTGATCAACATGGTGAGGCTGATCTTCCTGAGTATCCTGTCCTTCGCCCTGGTGGCGCTGGTGCCCTTCTTCATGTCGGAGCCGCTCCTCATCGTGAAGGTGCCGGTCCTCGTCGTGAAGGTGAAGGCGCCGCTCCTCATCGCGAAGGTGCCGCTCCTCATCGTGAAGGTGCCGCTCCTCCTCGTGCAGGTGCCGCTCCTCAGCGTGAAGGTGCCGCTTCATACCGTGAAGATGCCGCTCCTCATCGCGAAGACGCCACTCATCCTCGAAGGCGCTGCCGACCCTCATCGTGAAGGTGCTGCCGCTTCCCGTTGTGATGGTGCCGCCGCTTCCCATCGTGAAAATGGTGCCGCTCCTCATCGTGAAGGTGCTGCCGCTCCTCATCGTGAGGGTGGCGCTCCTTATTGTGAAGGCGCCGCTCATCGTGAAGGCGCCGTTCCTCGACATGACGGCGACGCCCCTCACCGCGAAGGTGGTGCCGCTCATCGACATGACGGAGCTGCCGCCCCTCATCGTGAAGGTGCTGCCGTTCCCCATCGTGAAGGTGATTCCGCTCTTCATCGTGTAGGTGTTGCCGCTGCTCATCGCGAAGTTCATTATATGTTGTCCCCGCCTCGGAAGAAGGCTCGTGGCGAGGACGACGAGCTCGATGGTAGAAGCTCTGAGGCCCCTGTCGTTCCAGCGCTGGCCGAGTCCTTCGCCTCTGGAGCTGCGCACTCCGGCGCGGCATCGTTCGCGTACTTCGACGGTCTTTTCCCGCAAGGCCTGAGCAAGGAGGACAAAATCATCAATGTGTTGCTTCACAAACCCTGCCAGGCTTCTGACGTGATGACATCGTTCGGTGCTATTGCGCGCTACTTTGGGGAATGTGAGGATATTTTAAGCAGTCATCTGTGCAATAGTGTTGGACCACCACCGCTCCCAGGGAAGTCTGTTTACCTGATGGCCTCGTCGTCTGCTGCTGGCCTGGATCGAAGCAGCGTCTGCGAGGTGACTGCTCTCGACCTGTTCCGAACACTTCAATTACCTCGGCGGGGGGTATATACATATAGAGAAAGAGAGTAATAGAGAGAGAGAGAACAAAAAAAAAACCTTATTATCAGTGCTTTTACTCATACGTTTCCTCTTGCTCGTCCTCCTCGCGCTCGTCGCCCACCTTTGCCTCGCCCTCCTCTACTCATCCTCCTCCCCCTCCTCCTCCTCCCTCTCCTCCTCCTCCTCCTAGTCGCTGACGCTCCCCTCCTCATCTTCTCCCTCATCACCCTCCACATCCTCATCATTACCGTCCTCCTCATCATCCCCCCCTGCTTGTCCCATGTCGCCCCCTCCTCAAACTCTTCCTCCACCCGTCCCCAGCCGAGGCACTGGGTTCTGACCTCCGGCTGGAGTCCCCCGCCCCTGCGGCAGCGGAGCAGCCGGCCCGCGTTGTTCCGCGGTTCATCCCCGAGCGCACACTCTCTGCGTGCGGCGCGCCTGCAGAGCACCGCTCTGGCGGCGCGCACAACGGGGCAGGGGGCGACGGGGGTGGCGTTCTCAGGAGGCGGGGTGCTCCTTAGCAGGCGGGGGCCTTCTTAGAAGGGACTGGAGGCTTCTGAAGAGCCGTCTCAGAAGCCGGGAGGACTTCCGAAAAGGCGTCTTTTAAACAGCACTCCGCCTTCTTAGAAGGCCCTCCCCCCGGGCGCCACCACCTTCTACGCGCCGCCAAGTGCTGGCGCAGGCCCGGCATTTCTTTACACGCAGAAGGCAGTAGCATTGTGCGCACACCTTCCTAACCGAGGCCTGGGCGTTACTGCTCCAGCACAGATGATTCGCTTCGATGTTGCAAATTCTCCGAACGTCGGATCTCAGAGTACACCATCCTTGGCCCAGGGTGGCCCTGGCCAGGTACGGTGGTGGTGTCTTGCTACCGATCTCATCAGTACCCGTTGTGTCCACCGCGTCACTAAGGTGTCCTGGTTCAACGCCATGGCGGAGTGCCCCTTCCTCCATCAGCGCCTCGCCGACCTGGTCCGGCACGTGGGCAACAAGCACTTCCCGTTGCTCAAGGCGTGCCGCCGTGGCCGATACTTCATGATGCTTCGCACATCCTCGCATGCCCGTGCGGCAAACAGCGGGTCGCGGCACAGCGATAGGCATCATTTCAGGCACAATGATGCTGCACTGCCTCCGCAGCGAGGCACCAGTTGCAGCATGCATGCCTGTGCTCGCACTGCAGGTTCTTGCGCACGCACAAGATGTCATCCGTTTCTCCTTCATGCAGCAGGGCTGTATCTTGATATTATCGTATACGCTTCCGAGTCTGAGCGGCAAGTTTAGAGGACTCCCGAACCACTTAAGGAAGTTAAGTCATATTATGGATCATGTCCTGTCTTTCATAAAGCTTGTTTGCCCACTCGGTGGTGTCATGTTATGGGTTACTTTGTGTTGTGACCCGCTCTCCTATGATGCACCATCACAAATTATGGTACGCCGTCATACGGTACAATGTGTCATCATTATACGGTAGACGATTCGTTTTCCAACTTAACGATCTCATCATCCCCCGCCTCCTGCACCTCCACCTCACTCCTCTTCCTCCTTCCTCCGCCCCGTCCCCCTGTGCCTATCCACTATCCCCCCTCTGCGTTCTTCTCCTCCACCTCCTCGCGCCTCCTGCTTCTCTTATCGTGCCCCCTTCTTCTTCTTCCCTACCACTTCTTCCCCTCTTCCTCATAATCCCTCTTCTTCTGCTTCTTCCCCTCCTGCTTCTTCCCCTCCCTCTACTTCCCCTCCTGCTTCTTCCCCTCCTGCTTCTCCTCTCTTGCTCCTTCTTCCTCTGTCCTCCTAATCCCTCTTCGTCTGAGGTGGCGTTGCGGCACGTCGCTCCAAACGCTGCTCCACGCCGAGCGGCTGACGCACTGCGCCACCACACTTGAAAAGACATGCCACACGCGTGCCGATTTCATGCTGGGTAATCCCCCTGCGCGCACATGTTTTCACGTGCTGAGAATCAGATGGCCGCGTGTCGGATACACCCTAAGGGGGCCTACACACGCGAAAACGCGTGCCGGATGGGCGCGTGCCAATTCCATGTTTCGTACCATTTCCCCGTGAGAAGACTCCGCCAGCTGCATGTTCGATGCCGCCCTTGGGCGCCTACAGACGCGAAAACACTTGCCCAATGCACGCGTGCCCAACGCATGTTGGATCCCCACCCTTTCTACGCACGTACTTCTACGTGCAAAGTATCCAGCAGCCGCATGTTTGATATCCCCCACTTCCTACATTCGTGAAAACAGGAGCCAAGCGCACGCGTGTCGAACGCGGGTTAGATACCCTTATCCGCGCACGCTTTTTCGTATAAAGAGTTCGCCGGCTGGACACCCTCCTGGGAGGGCCTACACACGTGAAAGCGCATGCCACATTGACACATGCCGAACGCATGTTGAACACCCCTTATCCGCGCACGTTTGTTTACTTTTGAAAAATATGTCGGCCGCAAGTCGGATACCCTCTTGGGGGCCTACCCACACGAAGATACGTGCCAAGTGCGCACGTGCCCGACACACGTTCTGTACCCTTGTCTGCGCACGTGCTCTGACGTGTGAAGAGATCGCCAGCCGCCGTCTGGGGGCCCTCTTGGGAACCTCTTGGCGGTCCCGGGGGGCCGTCTTGGGAGGAAGGGCTCGGACTGTCAGCTCGAGCTGCCCATCCCGGGCCCCTCGCCGGGCCGTTTTGGAGGCACCTTGGGCCCCCATTATGGACCTCGGGGCCCTCTTCGGGCGACCTCGGGGGCCTCTGGGGCCACCTATTGGGGCGGCTCCTAAGGCCGGAAAACCGAGCTCGCTCAAAACAAGCAACAAGAGCATCCGGGGGTTCAGTGATTTTTGGGCCTCGGGGGCTGCCCCCAGGGCTTCCAAGACGGCCCAAGATGTGCCGAAGTACACCTTAGGCGATGCTTAAGAAAACTTAAGTTTTCGGCCAGAGTCTCGATTATTCTTAATTTTTCAATGGAAGCCCTAAGATTTGAATGGAAATGTTGGGTTTTTATTCAAGTTCTGAGACTATGAATTTCTTAACCCATGATTTCTTAAGCATTTCGCAGGGTGTAGGCCCCAGGACGGGCCCTGAGACCATCTTAGGCCATGTTGGAGATCTGGAACCCCAACCACGATCCCAAGGCCTTTGAAAAAGTCACGCGAGCCGCCCCCCAGGCACCCGAGAGCGCCCAGCAGCGACCTGATATCCGCCCCTGGCATGTTTTGATAGCTCGTGCCCAGGCGCATAGCTGGGCGTACGTCGACGACCGGTCGGTGAAGGCTTCCTCGTTGGCCAGGCTGGATTCGGCTCTTGATGCTACTCGCAGATTCGATTCTGCTTTGGGTCTTGAGGAGAACGTTCAGAAACGTCAGGTGTGGGCCGGGGCGGGGGCCGTCGAGCACCTCGGGGTCACCGCGGCGGCCGCAACTGAGTTGACGCACAACTCGATTCGCCTCCTGGCGCCGCGCAGCGGCTGGGACCCTATCGTTGCCGCCCTCGGTCGGGTCCGTCTTCTCCCCTGGGGCTGGGAGGTCAGGGAACAGGCCGCCCTTTTCTGGGTTTTTGAACAAGTTTCTCTGGGCCGCCCCTTTTATCCAGGCCCCGCCGCTGGCCGTGGGCCTGCCAAATTTGGTTAAAGACGCCATCGTTCGGATGCAGGCCAGTTGGTGGTGCGATCGCAGATGCTGGGCCCCCAACATCCGCGCCCACCCTGTGCACGCGGCAGCTATGAGAACCCTCAAGGCCGCGGCCGGGCTCCCACACTCGGCCCGGCTTGCTCTCGCGATCTGGGTCCACAGTGCCGCCCTGGGTCTTCGCCCCGCGGATCTTTCTGAGGGCCCTCCCCCGATCGGTGTCTGGCTTGTCCCGGGCCCTGGCGTGGACCCTCGGGCGGCCGCGGCCGCTTCCCAGGCTGCCCGGTTCTCTCCAGTCCCGGGCGCCTTTGACGGGGCCACTGACCTCGGGCATCACGTCCTCCGTGTTTGTGCTCGCGCAAAGTGTCTCAGTGAGAGATCCGGCACCAGACGGCGCCAGGACGAGGAAGGGTTGAGCGACGTTTGCGTGGAAGCTCAGAGTAATCCCGTGTGGGTGCAGTGGGCCTCCTCCCTGCGGCCCGATCAGCGTTGGTGGCTTCGTGTGTGGCGGTGCGGCGGCACGTGGACTCCGACCCGCCAGTGGTCCCCGGCAGGCGAAGCTCGCACCTGCTGCCCCTGGTGCCCCGAGCCCCGGTGCTCCACCCGGCATCAGTTCGCGGATTGCCCCCGGTTCGTCTCGGTCCGACGTGGCCTCGAGAGGGAGTTTGGCCTGCCCCCCGGCTGGTGGACGACGGCGCCCCGCGCCACGTCCAAAACAGGATGGATCACGATGGCTGCGGGCCCGCACCCCGCGGATCGGGCCCGCCTTGAAGTGGCGGCGTGCCGCCTGGCGCTCGCCGTCGTCGAGGCGGACATCCGGCGGGCCCACGAGGCCCACGAGGAGGCGGGGGCCTACCCGCCTCCGGAGGCGGGGGCCTGCCCGCCTCCCCCGCGGGTGCTGCCCGGGCCGCCCCCCCGAGGACGACGGTGGGGCTGCGGCATAGGCGGCTGCGGGGCATCGGCGGCCCGGCGGCCCCCCCCCTCCCTCCTTCCCCCCTCGGCGGCTGGCTGGACTGCCGGCGGCCTGCCGCAGCCAGCCTGACACTTTCGGCTACATTAATTAAGTAATTTGGGCTGCGCGCCACTGGCGCGCCGGCAGAGGCAAGGCCACAAGCTCGCCCACCTCTTCTCACCCTTTACTCCAGGACGTTACACTTCGTGTTTCGGGGCACGGTGGCGGATATGCAGAGGGATGGAGCATAACAAAAAGAGGAGAGAAAGAAGAGAGAGAGAGAGAGAGAAAAAAGAGAGAGAGAGAGAGAACAAACAAACAAACAAACAAACAAACAAACAAACAAACAAACAAACAAACAAACAAACAAACAAACAAACAAACAGACAGACAGACAGACAGACAGACAGACAGACAGACAGACAGACAGACAGACAGACAGACAAACAAACAAACAAACAAGCAAACAAACAGACAGACAGACAGGCAGACTAACAAACAAACAAACAAACAGACAAACAACCAGCTACGGATTTGGACAGGAGTTCTAGGCAGTCCTCCCCTATCCCCTTCCATCTTGAACAAAACGATGCTGCATGAAGATGGGATGCCCGCACATTATGCTGCGTTTGTTGTATCGTGATCGTGGCACCGCGGGAAAAACAGTTCTGGGGGATCATTATGCATGGTCGGTTGCCGCTCGAGTGGGCGGGGGGGACATTGTCCAGGAAGGCGCAGAGATAATCTCTTCCGAATGGGAGGAAGTTTGGTTTGTGAAGAGCTGGCACCCTAAACCACCGACGCGAATAGTGTTCGTAGGACTCCTGCTTCTCCTCCTCCTCCCCCTCCTCCTCCTCCTCCTCCTCCTCCTCCTCCTCCTCCTCCTCCTCCTCCTCCCCTCCTCCTCCTTCGCCTCCCGCATCCTCCTCCTCCTCCTCGTCCTCCTTTCGCCTTCCCTCCTCCTCCTCCTCCTCCTCCTCCTCCTCCTCCTCCTCTCCTCCTCCTCCTCTCCTCCTCCTCCTCCTCCTCCTCCTCCTCCTCCTCCTCCTCCTCCTCCTTTCCTCCTCCTCTTCCTCCTCCTCCTCCTCCTCCTTCTCCTCCTCCTCCTCATCCTCCCTCCTCCTCCTCCCCTCATCCTTCCGTCTCAAGCTTCGTCCTTCATCGCCTATTCCTCCATTCCTCTTCCTGGAAGCCGCGCCGTGCAAGCGCGCCGCGAGACAGGCGGACCCTAGCGGACGCCTGAAGTGCGAGTACGAGGAGACCCAGTACGCGACCTACGGCCCGAACCAGCACTTCAAGGCCTGGCACCAGGACGGCGCATTGCCAACACCGTCGGGCCGTCGCCAACAGGCCGTCGCTGGCGCCTGCGTCGCCTTCGCGGCCGCCGTCGGGCCGCGCGGCCGTCGCCGTCGGGCCGCCGCCGTCGGGCCGTCGCTGGCGCAGGTGTCGCCGCCGCGGCCGCAGTCGAGCCGCACGGCCGTCACCGTCGGGTCGTCGCCGTCGGGCCGTCGCTGGCGCCGCCGTCGCCGTCACGGCCGCCGTCGTCGCCGCCGGCAGCGGGCCATCGGCGTCGGGCTGCCGCCGCCGAGCGAGCGCCCGCCGCCGCAGATCTGGCCGCGGTGCGGCGAAGCCGCGCCGCCGCCGCCGCCGCCCGCGCTCCGCTGACGCCCCGGAGGGCGGAGCTCTCCGATGCCCTCGGGGGCAGCGACCAGGGGGAGGACTGGCTCAGGGGGGGAGGGAGGACGAGGAGGAGGAGCAAAAGGAGAAAGAGGAGGACGACGACGACGACAAGGCGGACGAGGACGAGGAAAACGAGAGAAGAGGAGGAGGAGGAGGAGGAGGAGGAGGAGGAGGCTCGAGGCTTTCGGGCGGGTTCGTCTGTTCTCGACGGTCTCCCAGCCTCCGGATGCTTTCCTGCAGCTGCGCCTCGCCGAGGGCGTTCTTGGGGTGCCCGAATCGTCCAGAAGTGCCGCCGGAGAGCCGAGTTAGGACCCGAAAACCAGATGGAACGCAGCGACCCTCAATCGCCGAGTCATCGCCGATGGGCGCTTGATAGCCCACCCATGCCCAGAAGCACACGCTTCTGCCATCGGGGCCCTATCGTCGATCTATCGGCGATGCATCGCCGATTCGGGCTCGATGCTTTCCCCCCTGAGCTGGTCCCTCTTGTTGTTTCCCCTCATCTCCATCCCTCGCCTCGCCACCCGGACCGCCAGCGTGCTGACAGAAAAGTAGGGAACTGCTTCGTTGTTTTCAGCCTTTTGGAGGAGGACCTCGCTGGGCCACGCGCGCAATCGGAAGCGGCACGGGACGCAGAAGCCAGCCCTGGGGAAGAGGTCGAGGGTTCTGTGGACCCCGTCCTGCAAACAAGCGAAGCACTGGATCTCTGGGAAAGAGTCCTGAGGTACACGGGTCCTGAACTTTTCCGTCGTGTTCGGGCTCCCGAGGCCCTCCCTCGGGGCCCCTGGGCCGTCCAACAATGACTTTGGATGAAAAGTTGGTCCGGGCGGCAGCCCCGGAGTCCAGGCCCCGTTTCCCTCAGGGTTCGTGGTTTCGTGCCAATGATCCGTCATCCTCTCCCGTGCCTCTGAGATACCTCCACGATGCCTCAAGACAGCCCCCGAAGAGCCCCGTGAGGCCGCCAAGACAGCCAAGGAGCAGCCCAAGAGGCCCCAGGAAGCTACCAAGGATGCCACCAAGGAGGACTTTCAGAGTTCAGAAAAGCTCTCCTTCCCCCTCCTCTCCTCCCCGTCCATCTCCCCAATCCATGTCGCTCTCGCCCGATCATTTGCTTGGGCGCAGCGCTGAAGCGTCCACGATCCAAGCTTGCCGTCGACGCGGTCATCAGTAGTGCGCTGCGTAAACAGTGAGCGATTCGGTAGAATCGGGCCGCCAATCCAGTCGCCGCATACCGATCCGGGTTGTTTTCCGGGCATGCATGGCGAGATGCCCTTGAACATGTGCCCCCCACTCCTGGGTGGAGCCGATAAGCCGCATGCCTCTGAATGCGTCTGCTTTCCAGGCCTCCTAGCTGCCAATGTAGAGGAGGAGGAGGAGGAGGAGGAGGAGGAGGAGGAGGAGGAGGAGGGAGGAGGAGGAGGAGGACGAGGAGGAGCAGGAGGAGGAGGAGGAGGAGGAGGAGGAGGAGGAGGGAGGAGAGGAAAATTGGATTCCTATTGGAACCTGTATATTGGATACACGGAGTGATCGACCTGGATTACTCCGTGTATCCGAGGCAGATTATACTTGTATTCCTATTGGAACCTGCATATTGGATGCACGGAGTAATCGCACTCGATTACCCTGTGTATCCGAGGCAGATTCTAATTGGATTCCGATTGGAACCTGCATATTGGATACACGGAGTAATCGCAATCGATGACCCCGTGCACCCGGGGCAGATTCTAATTGGATTATTTTTGGAACTTGCATGTTGGATACACGGAGTAATCGCACTCGGTTACGCCGTGTATCCGAGGCAGATTTGAATTGGATTCCTATTGGAACCTGCACATTGGATACACGGAGTAATCGCATTCGATTATTCCGTGCACCCGAGGCAGATTCTAATTGGATTCCGATTGGAACCTGCATATTGGATACACGGAGTAATCGCACTCGATTACTCTGTGTATCCGAGGCAGATTCTACTTGGATTCCTTTTGGAACCTGCATATTGGATACAGGGAGGGAAGAGGGAGGAGAAGAACGAGGAGGGAGGCGGGAGGCGGGAGGAGGGAGGAGGGAGGAGGGAGGAGGGAGAGAGGTCGAGACCTCGGGGGGCCCACGCCGAGCGGACGCAGAGAGGCGTCGGAGGCCCGGGAGGCGCCGCGCGCCCTCCAGGGGCGTGTGCAGCGCCGCCCTGCCGAGCCGCCCCCTGCCGCGCAGGTCCGCCCACCTCGCCTCGGGGGAGAGCGGCGCCGCACGGGTCACGCGGGGCGGCGGCGGCGGGGGAGGGAGGGGGCCCAAAAGGCAGAGCGGGATCCGAGGGCCTGGGAGTTGGGCCTCGAGGGTGGGCCTCGAGGGGGCTGCTGCCGTACTTGCCGTTCGCCACGCCCTACGCCCCTGGGCATGCAGGCTTGGCAGACACAGTAGCCCCGGAGTGTTCCCACCCTTGGCGGCTCCCCCTCGGGGTGTCCACCTATCACGCCTGCTACACTGCGGTGAGGACTGGACCACAAAAGAGAGTTGGAGCCGGCTGGGGGTCTGAGGTGGCCCAGCACTGGTTCCGACCAGCCGGAACGGGGGGCCAGGTCTGAGGCTTTGGGTTCGAGGAGGTGTGTTTTGCAGTTTTCGGTCTTTGGAGGCCGTTTTCGGGCCCCAGGAACGTCAAGGACGGATCCAGGGTGAAGAGCTGCTCCAGGTGGACACCTGGAGGGGTCCCAGGACCGAGTTTGAGCAGATTTGCAATTTTCCCGTTGTTTTCACTGATTTTCTTGGGGCCCATTCAGCTCAGACCCTTTGGCCACCTCCAATTTGGGAGTTTGCGATCGGCGCCCCTGAGTGCCAGTAATCTTTTGGTGAGGAAACGACTTCTGGGAAGTTCCGTTCAATCTCGGGCTTCATCTGGGCCAATCTGGCGACATTGGCAAATAAATCGCGCTTGATAGATGTCATCGTTCTTACGGTCACCAACCAGAAGCTGTCTGCTGATGTTGGCCTACTTGCCCGCGGCACGGTGGGCTGGATCGCTCTGGAACAAGACAGCGCGTAGACTGCGTCGGGCATCAAGATCGGAGGGCGGCCGCTAGACACGATGGCCTCAGCCTTGCTCTCGCGAGGAGCGACAGGCCCCACAGAACACCATTCGTTACTTGTGTCAGGCGGCATTGCCCCCTAAGCAGCTGTGAAGTAGGATGACGCGGCGGACGCCCAGCCCTCTGCTGGGCGGGAGCAAGCTCACATCCCCACCAGCGAGCCTGGGAGGGTACGGAGAGCGGTGCGCCCAGAGGATGCTTACGCCGACGGCAACGACCCAGAGGACGCCAGGCAGATCACCGTCGTCGCTATGCTCACGGACAGGAGTTCTCGGCTCAGCTCTGGCGCCAGGAGCGTCGTGTACTGCATAGCTCCAGGGCCACGACTGGTCCGCTTCGGCCCAAAATAGTGATCATGTTTTCGGCTCTAGAAGCTCTCAGCTCACGTTCCACACTGACCTCCCGTGGGGGCACGAGCAGGCGAGGGGACCTTTTGGTGTATGCATATGTATGTATAGATGTTTCTGCCCATCGTGATTACCGTTCATGACAGTTTTTCGAAGGAGGCTGAAACCCGACAGCCCCGAATTCCTTGTTGAATTGTGTTGTTCCTGGCGTCAGATAGCCGTCCTGCGACCAGGAAGAGTCATGAATGATCATGCTTCAACAAGAAGGTTGTAATCAATGAATGTCTGCCAGTGGGCAGCGGACTGCACCCTGGGCGTCAGGGAAGGCCCGTGGGAATGGTGCCCGATCGCGACTGTTGCTTTGATCCCGATGCGATGTTCATCGTTATCACCAGTCAGATTGCGCAGCTGAGGTTCTTACAGCGGAGGGCAGTTCGAAGTGAAAATCAAGGGTGCCGACGGGCGCAAGAAGCAGCGGAGGATAGCGTTGGAGGCCGTGCCTGCCGATGTCGCTCTGTTTGCAGCCTCCTTCTTCGGGGATGCCGACAAGTGCTCAGTTGTATTGTCATGACCCGGCCATTTCGGCGGACCCTTCAGTTGACTTCCAGAGCTATCGAATATACAAGTACCTTCATGCTTTGAAGCATGTGAAGGCAAAAGTAAGGGAAGAACAAACGCACATATACAATCAAAGATAAGCAAGGCCACGTCAAGGATTCATATCCTGGCCTCACGCCCACGACAACATGCCCTCATGGCCATGTCACAGCGTCGCCGTGGCAATTACCCAGCGAACGTACCGTGGCCCCACAGCACCATAGCATCAATGGTCTTGCCCCCGTGGTTCGTTGGCAAGTCATGGCCAAGTGTACACATGTCCACGCGGCTATGTTTTTGTACGTATGTACGTGCGCATGCATATACATATACATGTGTATGTATACACATGTGTACATCTATATATATACACACACATACCAAGCATACATTCGGGCCATCCCGCCACCGTACCTGGGTCGTGGACAAGTGGCCACCCAGAAGCCTCTTGGAGGTCTCTCGGGGACCTCTTGGGGTCCTCCGTGGGCATCCTGGAAGCCTTCGGGGGGCCTGCCGGCGGTCTCGGGGGCCATGTTCGAGAAAGTGACTCGAACTGTCTGTTCGCGTTTCCCCTCTTAGGACCGTCTTGGGAGGCCTCTTCGGGAACTCGGGACCCTCTTGTCTTGGGGGCCTCTTGGCTTCTTTTCGACACCCCTAAGAGGGAAAAGCGAGCATGCGAGTATCATTGAAATAGTTTGAGTGCTTCAAACGGTGCTGGCTTCTCGGGCTGGCCCCCATGGCCTCCAAGACGGCCGAAGGGGCCCAGAGAGGGCTCGATGACGGGCCCTGGGTCCACCCGGGAAGAGCGCCCAAGAATGCCCGTGACTCGGGGCTCGGGGCCTAGGAAAGACACCGCGCAGGCCCTGCGGCCGCTTCTGCCGACCCTGAGACGTGAGCAGCTTGGGCGCAAGGGACGACAGGGGGGCACGGGGCAGGGGGGCAGGGCCGGCCCGATGCTGGGGCGAAGATCTGATGGTTCTCGGCCCCTCCCGCCACTGCGTCTGGGTCGTGTTCCAGAAGCCTTGGGGACTGTTTGGGAGGCCTTGGGGGTTCTCTTGGGGGGCTCGTGGGGGAGGAGGGGGCCTAGAGCTTGCCAGCGATTCGACGGGCAAGCAAATCCGGGCCTGGCTTGCGAGATCGTTGTGACTGGGAGGCCCTTCTCTTGGAATCAAGCTTCCTGGCTCCAAGCGCAAACCTTCCCGAATATTGTCTCGATGGCTTAGGGACGGCTAGCGCTAGGGTCTAGGTACGACGATGGACGACGAGCGGCCAATCATGATGGAGAAAGAAGGAGGATTGGGAAGAAGAGGACAAAAGAGCAGGACGGAGAGGGCTTTGTACTGCAAGTGCGTGCTGGAGCACAGCCAATGCCGCGACAGCGTCGACGATTGCATCATATGATGTTGGCATGTGAACTGCACTGCGCTCCTCATGCCTCCCACCCCCCTCGTAGAGAGAGGAACAGACGGAAGACGAGGAGGAGGAGGAGGAGGGGAAGGAGCAGAGTAAATTTGGGATGCACCAACGGTGCTGCAATGCACAGGGGGAGATGGGAGGAGATGGAGCAGAAGCAGGCACAGGCTCCGGCTCCGAGGAGCGAGTCGGAGCTTACAGCAGCCCTCCATTACGTCGATCAGACATGTCCCCATCTTTCGTGCCCCCGCACAGCCCCGTGCTCCCATTCGTCGCCGCGGGCCGACCTGCGTGGCCCGCGCTGACCTCTGACGAGGCGCTTTCTTCTTCCGACTCGCGTTCTGCAGGCGGTCGACAGTCCCTTTTCCGAAGCACGTCTTCGCTTCCGGTGGCCCAGGGATGGGAGGGAGTGGTAGCCAGTGAGTGTGAGCGTGTGCGTTTCATTGTCTCCGCCTGGTCGCTGCGCGCAAGGCCGCGATCGCCAGAACAAGTGAGCGTGCTTGTGTGTTGCGTGGTGTCTGCGGGTGTGTGCGAGTGTGTGTGTGTGTGTATGTGTGTCTCTGTGTGTTGTGTGTGTGCTGTGTGTGTGCTGTGTGTGTTGTGTGTTATGTGTGTTATGTGTGTTATGTGTGTGTGTGTGTTGCGTGCTGTGTGTTGTGCGGGTTCGAGTGTGGTGTGTGTGTGTTGTGTGTTGTGTGGCGTGTGTGTGTGTGCGCGTGCGTGTGCGCGTGTGTATGGTATGTGTTGTGTTTTGTGTGTGGTGTGTGTAGTGTGTGTCTGGTGTGTGTGTTGTGTGTGAGTTGTGTGTTGTGGGCTGTGTGTTGTGTGTGTTCGTGCTTGCGCGTGCGTCCGTGTGAGTGTGTGTGTGTGCGTGCGTGTGCGCGAGCGTATGTGTGTGTGTGTGTTTGGCTTCTTAGTTGTGTGTCTGTGCGTGTCGTATTTGTGCGTTTGCCTGCCAGCTTGCTCGCGTATAGTTGTGTGTAGTGCGTGTTATGTACGTTGTATATGTTGTGTGTGTGCGTTGTGCATTGTATGTGCGGGTGTTGTATGGATGTTGTGTGTTGTGTGTCTGCGTGTGCGTGCCCGCGTGCGTGTGTGTGTGTGTACGTGTACGTGTACGTGTGTGTGTGTGTGTGCGCGCGTGTGTGGGGTGTGTGTGTGTAGGTGTGTGTAGGTGTCTGTACACATCCACCCCGCTGGACCTCCCAGGAGCCCGCGAAAGTGGCGACAAATGCGCAGTTCGCAGCCACCCAAGGAGCCGCGAGATCTCGTCAGGATGCGCGTACACCTCCACTCCGCTGGACCTCCCAGGAGCCCGCGAAAGTGGCGACAGATACGCAGATCTTAGCGACCTAGGGAGCCGCGAGGTCTCGTCTGCATGCGCGTACACCCCCACTCCGCTGGATTTCGCAGGAGCCCACGAAAGTGGCGACAGATACGCAGATCTTAGCGACCTAGGGAGCCGCGAGGTCTCGTCTGCATGCGCGTACACCCCCACTCCGCTGGATTTCGCAGGAGCCCACGAAAGTGGCGACGGATACGCAGATCGCAGCCATCCAGGGAGCCGCAAGATCACGTCTGGATGCGCGTACGCTTCCACTCCGTTGGACATCACATGAGCCCACGAAAGTGGCGGCAGATGCGCAGGTCGCAGCCACCCAGGGAGCCGCGAGGTCACGTCTGGATGGTCGTACACCCACTCTGCTGGACATCCAAGGGGCCCACGAAAAAAAGCGGCAGAATGTCGCAGCCACCCGGGGAGCCGCGACATCTCGTTTGATGCGCGTGAACCTCCACTCCGCTGGACCCCCTTATGAGCCCGCGAAAGTGGTGACAGATGCGCAAGTCGCAGCCACCCAAGGAGCCTCGAGATCTCGTCTGCATGCGCGTACACCTCCACTCCGCTGGACCTCCCAGTCACGAAAGTGGCGGAAGTTGCGCAGTTCGAAGCCACCCAAGGGGCTGCGAGGTCTCGTCTGGATGCGCGTACACCTCCACTCCGTTGGACCTCGCAGGAGCCCACGAAAGTGGCGACTGATGCGCAGTTCGCAGCAACCCAGGGAGCCGTGCAGGACGAGGCAGGACGAGGCAGGAGGAGGAGGAGGAGGAGGATTTGGAGAAGGCATGGAGACCATTGCACGGGAGGATTGGGAAATATTTTACACCTGCACGGATGGAGGGTGACTGCTTCTCGACATGGAGCTCTCGCCTCAGACTCTGCGAAAGTTCGACCCTAAGACTAGCCCTGAGCAACAGATACACGGATGGCGAGCGAGTCGTTTTCAAAATCAGGTCGTCGTTTGAGACTGTGTTTGGTTCTATGACCAAGAGTTTGAAATTGCGCGACGGTTGCACGGGCGATGAGGGGTTCCTTTTCAAAGTGGGGGCGCCCGCTGGGCATTCGTTTGATCGTTGTGATCCCAGGTTACGGGGGGGACATCGGTGGAGGAATGTGCCCAGGAGGCCTTCAGACGCTGGACCATCCTTTATCGGATGGGGGAAGTGGCGATGTCCACGTCCGTGTCCGTGGCCATCCCTCACCGGATGAGGGAAGCGGCGATTGGAGTCCCACCAGCGCTCCGCCGTGGGGCACTCGCTCTGGCCCGTCCCGCCCGCCGCCGTGCAAGCACTGCTGCGGGAGCGGCACTTTGTGTTCATGGACTCCCGCCAGCACGTGCCCGGTGCACTCGAGGAAAAAAAAAAATGCCCTCACCGTATCTCGCAGCCCGTATAGCGCGTTCCCTGAAATTTGTGTTCCCGCTTGAGCTGGAGCGCTCGTCTTTCTCCGGTGGCGCCTCGCGCAGTGGAAGAGAATGCATGGAGGGACTAAAGAAGAAGAGGAGGTTTGGCATTGGATCCTGGCCTTTCTCGCCACATTCGCGCTCTCATCGTGCCTCATCCTTCTCGTGTCCTCCCCTGTGCTCGCTCCTCTGGCGAGGCTGGGGAAGCCATCCTCTTTCCTGCGAAGAAGCTGGTGCACCGAGTGCTGGAGGTCAAGAGTGGCATACGCAAGACGCTCGTCTTCTGGGCTTTTGATCGCGCGTCGTGCAAGTATCACACTGGCCAGGTTGATAAGTAGTCGGACTTGCCAGCAGACCTCTTGCCCACACTCCGCTCCATTCATCGAAGGGCCTTGCGGCATGGCGACTCCCTGTCGCGCACGGGCGAGCAACCGTGACCGAGTTTCAGGAACGGGGCGCAGACAGGATGATGATTCGGCCCCGGTTGCTTTTAGAGGCTCGGGTAAAGCATCCAGAGGTATGCCCTTGAGGGCGTGGGCGTGCTCGGAAAAACATATACGCTCCGCGCGACTCCACCAGCCAATGCAAGAAAGTTCCCAGAGCGCGTTGCCCTGCTCAGGGAAGCATATGAGCAAGGATTGGCATTGACAGGAGAGGAACGGGGGGCAAAGCTGTCAAACCGAAGCCCAAACGTTCGAGGGAGAGGAGTAGGAGGAGGAGGAGGAGGAGGAGGAGGAGGAGGAAGAGGAGGAGGAGGAGGAGGAGGAGGAGGGGAGGGGGAGGGGGAGGGGGAGGGGGAGGGGAGGAAGAGGAGGAGGAGGAGGAGGAGGAGGAGGAGGAGGTGACGTTGGGCGATGTTGTAAGATAGTGGCGCTAGCTCATCGCCTCTCTGAGTCGACTTGGTGACGCCCGCGACACGCATGTCACCGCCAAGGCCCGCCAAGGTGCACAAGCCAACCACAAAACCCATTGCGGATTTTTCTCTCGGAGAGAATATTGGATACTGATTGGGGCTGTTGTGGGGGACTATTGGACCAATGTTTGGTGCATTTGGGACTCTCTCGGGGCCCTCCCGAGGCTCTCTTGGAGCTCTCTTGGCCATGGGGGGCATCTTGGAGGACGTCGATGAAAAAAATACGGCGGAATCCAATACGTTCCATCCCCAGTCGGAGCCCGAAGCGTCTTGCCCTTTGGGTCGGTCGTGGGGCCATCTTGGAGACCTTATGGGCCTCTCTTGTGCGATCTTGGAGCCATCTTGCGGCCAGGAACCCAATCGGAGTCAAAAAGGCGAGAACACAAAAATCCGTGATGTCTTGATGCTCATTACATTGGGTTGTTCGAGCTGCCTGATGGCGGTCTTGACGCCTCATAGACGTAAGGTGCAAGCTGTATTGAACCATCTTGGGCTCTCTTGCACCACCGTGGATGCCATCTGGAGCTCTATTGATGCCATTGGACGCTCTGGCATGTCGCGAAACCCTGCTCCCGACCCCAGCACGAAGGGGAAGAGGGGGGTAGGAAGAGAGAATTGCCCAAGCCACCTAGGCCCTAAGGGCTTGTAAGGTTCTGGCCCGACAAAAGCAACAAGGTTCTCGGGACTTGGCCCCGATGCATTCGCTCCCCATTAGATTTATCCCTCGACCTTCTCCTCCTCATCTTGCTGACGGATGGAAGGAGATACGGATGAATGCCAGGGTACAGCGAGCAGAGGATGGAAACAGCTGAATGGGGGCCTTGAGTCTCCAGGGTCCAGAAGCGAGACCACCGTTACTCTGGATGGCTTTTGTTTTTGTTGATCAAGGGGGGGGGGGGGGGGATTAACCTTCTGACTGAGCCTACCCAATCCCGCCCCCCTCAATCCTCCTCCCCCTCCTCATCCTCCTCTTCCTCCAACGCCCCCTCCACCCATTCCGACAGCACGTATCCGACCCCCCCAGCGGATCCAACAGGGGGGGGGGGGGGGGGGGGGGCGATTATTGCCCCATATATCCAACGGGGGTGGGGTGGGGGCGGGGGGGGCGATTATTGCCCCATCCAGAGCATTCCAAGTTGCATCCCCCGTGCAGCCCAGGGCCACGCGCACTCCAAGAAGGGCTCCTGCCCTCGAGGGATCGAGGCAACTCGCCCTCGGCGGAAGCTGGCGGAAGGCCACCAGAAGCTGGCGAAAGCGAAAGCTAACCACACAAGGGAGGGAAACATTTGGGTACGTAGGGTTGCTGGAGCCGCCGATTGAGCCACCAGACCCACACAAACTGTAGACAGTGGCCGAATGGTCTAGCTCTTTTCCACCCTGGCTCTTACCCAGACTCCGTTGACCGCGTCCCTGGACCTCCGCGGTCTTGGTTTTCTCGCCGCGTGGACCCTTGGATATCTCAACCATTTCCTCGGGACCAGCCTTCATCCCGAGTGGTTTTCTGACGGTCCCAGGGCTTGGTAAGTGTGGAGATGCTTGATGTTTTCACGACGCGGCCGGGTCTCTGTCTACACGGGCCCAAACTGTTCCTGTTGCCGTGGCGTTCGTCAGCTTTGTTCGAGAGACGGGGGCTCCGCGGGGACCTCGTCGGCCGCTGCGCCTGTGCCCGCCACGAGAGACTGGATAGGGCGATATCTGAAAGGGGGGTGGCACGGGGGGATACGGGGGGAGGGTACAGAAGCCCAGACCCCCCTCGCGTCGTTAAAGAAACACGACGGGGGTTCCATAGGCCCTTCTTGGGCCCCGGGAACGTTCAAGAACGATTGAGGATGAATAGAAACAAACAGACAGACAGACAGACAGACAGACAGACAGACTTTTTTTATTCGCGGGTCCTCTTCCGGTCGAAGCTAAGCGGGCCAATTCACAGACAGACAAACAAACAAACAAACGGATCCGGAACGGGTTCCAGCCCTCCGCGGGTCGACATTGTGGAAAAAAATCCGGCGTCGGAGAAGGGACGGGGGAAGTTTGAGAGCGAAGGGAATGATGGCGGAGGATGGGCAGAGATGGAGGCGGAGCGATGGCGGAGGGAGAATGGTTCCGCTGTGCCACTCGAGTGGCTCCCGAGCCCCGGTCCGCAGCTCTCCTCTCAAGGCTGGCTTCGAGCCGAGATGAGCGCCAGCCCCACGCCCGCAGCCACTCCCAGAATGGAGTCGACGGATTCGGCACTCTCCTACTCTCGCCGGGGCTGGCCTCGGCATAGGACCGCACGACTCGAGGCCTCTGCGCGGCAGTGAGCGACTGCAGCGCTGTGAAGTCGTGCTGTTGCGTCACCAAGCTGCACTCCATTCGCGACTGAATGCGTGCAAAAGGGCAAGGTGGCACCTACAGAGTGGATCCCAAGCCTGACTTTCCCCAGTAAGTCTGTGCAGAATGTGCCCCCTCCATGCACTGTCCCTCCATCCAGCGCTTGAGAGAAGATTGAGACCCCCAAGAGACTTGCCCCTGCATATGTTTGCACATCCTTTTCCCAGCAGTCACAGAAAGGGCAGGCAGGAGTTCAAGTTTTGCAGCGCGGGCATTACACCATGATCGCACCAGTCCGCTTGTGAACCTGATATTACGGCACTGCTTATGAACATGATGATGGTCTTCTCCAAAAAATCCGCTTTATGGTAAGAGATGCCCCTATCTTTGGCAAAGTCTACGCGTCAATCCTTCCATGGGCATCCCGCGTCGAGGCAGCGGCACGGCATCACTGAGCTCGCGATTGTTGGAGGGAGACGAGACAAAAGACGGCCAAACATTAGTGCTCCAACATTGAACAATGTTTTGAGAACGGTCCAGTGTTCCAGGAGCCCGCTGCAGATTGCAATCGTGAAGGTGTGCGAGACTCCATTTTGGTATTATCCATAGTCCGATTGTTACATGTGATGATTTGGTTACCAGCTGGGAGAGCAGGAAAGTATCGCAATCGATTGTTCATGCGTTCTGCGAGCATCAGCGAAGCATCGACTTTGGGTGGCACGTTTGGCGCCTAAGGCGGAGTTGAGCAGATTAGGTGCGGACCCAGGTAATTCTGAATTGGCCGGTTCGGGTCAATAACCTGTTGAATTTTGCCCGTTACAGGTCGGCACGCGGATGTTGTTGCGTTCCGTCCAGGTTACACAGCCCGTTTATCCGAAGGTAATATCACCGAGCGGTTTTGTACCATATTCCACGATACGGGTTGGGTCATCCGGGAATACGTGGGCCGCCAGTGGATAAACGCAAAGTTCGGCAAAGGATGCTTGCGCTCAATGTGAATATCGCCTTACGCACCGGACCATCTGTCAGACTGAAGAATTCGTTTGGAACGCATCGCGATGCAAATAGGACAGAACAAACAACGGTCGTCAGCTACGGTGCAACATTCCGCTTGTTTGTTCCCCATGTTTTGTTAGATTGCGCAGCAGTTTCCCCAGGAAACCCGTGGCGACCCATGGAGCCTTCAACAGTATTAAGTATTGCACGTTGAACGATAGGAGAGACCCTGGGCCACTCAATTCATTGCTTGCGGCACGGCAGCGGTTCTTCTAAATCTGCGACCCAATGTGTTCTTATCAGAGTTGTTTCTGAGAATCTCAGCGACGGCCCGATCGATGTTTTACGTTTCACGTAAATTACGCCAGAGAGAAAGAAAATCGTACATAGAAACGCCTCTTGCGGTCGCTCGTGTCTGCATGTGGCCCGTCTTGGGTAGCCACAAGGCCGCCCATGGCGCAAATTATGGACGCAGCTAACGGCCACGGAAAAACGGCGGCACCCATGGTGGAGCCCGTAGCTCCAACCCACGGACTCAATTAAAGGCCGCGATAAATTAGAGGCGCGCGCGCATAGCGCAGCCCCGTGCACGCAAGCGTATGGCAACAAATTGTGCGGTGCCTGTTGCCCTGCAAGAATCCCATCGGCGCGGAACACGGTACTGTAGAGAAAGCCGCGAAGAGAATTGCACATTTGTTTGAAAATGTTACATTGAGCATGGAAGTGAGCATGGAGCATCTGCGACTCCACGTGTCTTTGCGAATCATGTTTTTCTTTTTTTGAGAAACCAGTGCCGCAAACTTATGGCCAGGTCCAAGAGAAAATGCGGCTTCGAGGACTCGAAGGATTCGCCAGATTTCCCGCGCCGAAGCGCGGCAGAAGCTAACGGAAGGTAGCTCCGCCCGCGAAAGCCGGCGGAAGGCTTGCGGAAGTTCGTTGGAGTAAATCTTGGTTTGTTAGGAGATGTTAATGTTGTTGGATTCAGGGTTTCGAGAATTAGCCACCTGTAAATGAGCGACGTGCTAGAAGTTTTTTTTCGTGCGTACATGCTCCGTCTTGCTTGTTTCGCATTGACATGGATGTTATCCAAGTGCATGTCCACAGTTAGTCGGCACACAC